ATTTGTATCTCTACATAAGCTTATTATGAAAATATATTTAAAAATCTATCCAATAATACTAATTATGTACCATAAATTTTAATATTTTATTATATATTTAGTTAAAGTTAAAATAAATGACTTCTTGGAAAGCGATAATGACTCTTTTATGGGGCGGAGGGAGTACACGTCAAGCGATGAGCAGAACTGAGATGGGCAACCGATAGACTGGCTCATCTTTGTGCCTCCACACACAAAAGGCGATGGCACGGTGACAAATAGTGTTGCCCGCGCGCTGAGTGGTGTTTGATATAGTGAGACGTTGTGATGTGAGCAAGCAGTCTCGGCTTTCTAGGTCAGGAGATTAGGTCTCCTTTTCTCCTTAGGCAAGTATGGCAAGACACGAAAAATATGGCTAGAAAATTCGAAGCATATTTTGTCACGCCTAATGGAATCATGCCACACTTTTTTACTCTAAGTAGAGCCTAAAAAAAATCTAAGTTTAGTTGCTCATCAAATACTTGCCAACTTAGTTTTTTTTAGGGGACAACTTAGTTAAACTTGACAAAGGTGAAATGTGCCAAAGTATGGCTAGCAACCAAACATCCTCAAATACATTCTTCCTCGAACTATTAGCCATGCACGATTAGTCCATTTTTTGGACAAAAACTTTCAAGATGTTTGTAAGACCTTATTAATAATTTACCGTGGTCTGTTTTTGGTAAATTCTACACTTATAATCACTAGTGTTGTGTGTTAGCATGATACATTTTATCTATTTGTGTGAAGTTGCACCACTAACTCATACCAAATTCCTGATACGCCCACACGGAGATGAGGTGTGACGTCGTAGTGATACTTCTTCTTCTTCTTCTTCTTTTACCAAACTACCAATAGGTATCGCTAGTAGCCTAGTAGTGACAATCAGTGGAGGTCAATGAGCCTGACAAATCGACACACCCACGTTTGTGGACTTTCTTTTGAAAGACAATTTATCCATCAATGTTCCATGCATGTGTTTTACTTTACGGAAGTTCTATGCACATGTGGACTCTGACACTATTCTTGACCGGAAGTTCTATGCACATGTGGACCCTGACACTATTGTTCTGCCACGCTTGACCGCTGAGTTTCGGTCGTCTCTTCAAGTCTTCACCAGTACATAACCATTGAAAGAATAAATCGCACTTGATTTCCATCGTGGATACATCACCTATCATTGAAAGAACTCTATAATTATTCTGCCACGCTTACTACTTACGGTGGCTCATTATTGACGAGTATGTCACCTACCATTGAAAGAGTACCGTTAAATCTTAAGAAAAATCCAAACACCCACGTCAAGTTAAGAATTTGAATCCGAATAGAGAGTTTTTTTTCTCAAGAAACCCAACTAGCTGAGCTATGCCTAGTTCATGATAAAAAGGGTAAACTTTATCTGAAATACTCAGTTTTCAGCAAAAAGTTAGCACAAACTGGATCAGGGCCCTGTCTTGAGTTTTTTTTTATTAAGTCCAAAGTCATACTAAAACATGTCTCTTTTTATAGATATGAAAATAATAATACTCAACATGTACATATACATATATGAATGTAAAATTTACCAAAAACTTCTTCTAAATATTACTATACTTAACATACATCTATGACTCCATGCTATATGTGAATTAAGGTAGATATGAGTACAATTAAATCTCCCTCAAACTCCATGCTATGACTCAGCGATCTGCTGAGAGCCTAATACGTTCAGACAAGCGATGGCCAAGGAGAGAAATAGTCTTGCAAACTATAGGCTGCCAGACCAGACGCCGGTCCACATATAAGGATGATACACCATAAGTTCTCTTTCTTCCTTACTGTAATTTCTGATGTTCTAACTTCCAAATTGGAAATCTATCCGTTAGAGTAAGTCACCGTTCACCTAAATGATTGTTTAGTCTATTTAAAGGCGTATAAACGGTAAAGGCAGGTCACCTCTGTCGTTAGGCCCTATAAATTACAAGGATGGAACGTTTAAACCATTAAAAACCATCTAAATGGTTTAAACAAAGTCGAGTTAATGTGATTAAATGATCCAGATGACCATTTAATTCACCTGTAGTCAATAGGAAGATTAAAAGTACCACATTGGCATCGAACTAATTATCATCGTAAGTATATGAGGCGGAGTGGGATTTAATTTTCTTACAAAAAATATTTGATAGAATTCTTATTTTTACATGCATAAATTAAATATGTATACCTTTTAGAATATTTGAGTTTTACATACTTAAATATGTATATTTTAGTGTTACTATACAAAACCATTAGGGCCGTTTAACTCCATTTAAACACCGTCTAAATGCTAAACAAAGAGTGACGATTGTTTACCGTTTTACTTTTAGGATAATATTGGGTACAATCCTTACAGTTATATAAGAGTTGATCTAAATTGTGATTTGTGTGAATTGTCTAATTGATTTTTAACCTTTGGCCTGAAGACCAATCCTCAATCTAGTACTCTGTGTTCAATCTCATTGTCATTACAAGTTGTGATTGTAAAGCTTTGTATTAAACAAGTTAGAAGAAAATTTTAAAGTAATTTAATATATATAATGTGTTTGATATGAATATTGCTTTTGGATGTATGTTAAGTATAGCAATATTTAGAAGAAGTTTTTGGTAAATTTTACATTCATATATGTATATGTACATGTTGAGTATTATTATTTCATATCTATAAAAAGAGGCATGTTTTAGTATGACTTTGGACTTAATAAAAAAAACTCAAGACAGGGCCCTGATCCAGTTTGTGCTAACTTTTTGCTGAAAACTGAGTATTTCAGATAAAGTTTACCCTTTTTATCATGAACTAGGCATAGCTCAGCTAGTTGGGTTTCTTGAGAAAAAAACTCTCTATTCGGATTCAAATTCTTAACTTGACGTGGGTGTTTGGATTTTTCTTAAGATTTAACGGTACTCTTTCACTGGTAGGTGACATACTCGTCAATAATGAGCCACCGTAAGTAGTAAGCGTGGCAGAAAAATTATAGAGTTATTTCAATGATAGGTGATGTATCCACGATGGAAATCAAGTGCGATTTATTCTTTCAATGGTTCTGTACTGGTGAAGACTTGAAGAGACGACCGAAACTCAGCGGTCAAGCGTGGCAGAACAATAGTGTCAGGGTCCACATGTGCATAGAACTTCCGGTCAAGAATAGTGTCAGAGTCCACATGTGCATAGAACTTCCGTAAAGTAAAACACATGCATGGAACATTGATGGATAAATTGTCTTTCAAAAGAAAGTCCACAAACGTGGGTGTGTCGATTTGTCAGGCTCATTGACCTCCACTGATTGTCACTACTAGGCTACTAGCGATACCTATTGGTAGTTTGGTAAAAAAAGAAGAAGAAGAAGAAGTATCACTACGACGTCACACCTCATCTCCGTGTGGGCGTATCAGGAATTTGGTATGAGTTAGTGGTGCAACTTCACACAAATAGATAAAATGTATCATGCTAACACACAACACTAGTGATTATAAGTGTAGAATTTACCAAAAACAGACCACGGTAAATTATTAATAAGGTCTTACAAACATCTTGAAAGTTTTAGTCCAAAAAATGGACTAATCGTGCATGGCTAATAGTTCGAGGAAGAATGTATTTGAGGATGTTTGGTTGCTAGCCATACTTTGGCACATTTCACCTTTGTCAAGTTTAACTAAGTTGTCCCTAAAAAAAAACTAAGTTGGCAAGTATTTGATGAGCAACTAAACTTAGATTTTTTTTAGGCTCTACATAGAGTAAAAAAGTGTGGCAAGATTCCATTAGGCGTGACAAAATATGCTTCGAATTTTCTAGCCATATTTTTTGTGTCTTGCCATACTTGCCTAAGGAGAAAAGGAGACCTAATCTCCTGACCTAGAAAGCCGAGACTGCTAGCTCGCATCACAACGTCTCACTATATCAGACACCACTCAGCGCGGGCAACTCTATTTGTCACCGTGCCATCGCCTTTTGTGTGTGGAGGCACAAAGATGAGCCAGCATATCGGTTGCCCATCTCAGTTCTGCTCATCACTTGACGTGTACTCCCTCCGCCCCATAAAAGAGTCATTATCGCTTCCCAAGAAGTCATTTATTTTAACTTTGACTAAATATATATAATAAAATATTAAAATTTATGGTACATAATTAATATTATTGGATAGATTTTTAAATATATTTTCATAATAAGCTTATTTGGAGATACAAATATTACTAATATTTTCTATAAATCTAGTCAAACATCACGAGTCTTTTTTATGGAATGGAGGACGTAGAATGACAAAAGTTTCCATGCACCGAACACCATTCTTGTCGATTTGCCTCTCTATGAGATCGGTCGAGGGTGAAAAAAAAATCAATGGGCAATAATTTGGGAGTCTTTTTTCCACTTTCTATTAACACAAAAACTTGGGCCTCGGGTTAGGGTTTTTTTTTTGTGGTGTCACGCTACATATAGTCTAAATGACTCATGTCCATTTTGCACGCTGAGTAAATTACAAATAGGTCTAAATTGTGAAAAAAATCCAACAAAAAGGGATGAGCCTACTGTATCAATGCACAGTGTAGGCTCATCCGTTTTTGTTAGTAAGAGAATCACGAATGGGTACAAATTGTTCTCGCTACATCAGGAGTGCACTGATACTGCATCCGTTTTTGTTAGTACAAAAAAAAATCACAAATGAGTGTAAATTGTTCTCGCCACATTAGGAGGAAAAAAATGGCACACATTCCACTTTTGATTTCTTCATTTACCCAACCTTTCTAGACAAGTACCAAACCCAGCCTGGAAATTTCCAGGTCAACAAAATTGACACTACGATTCCTTGCTGAGGTGAAAGCTTTGCAGGTCCACTTAAACAGTACCACAATTAAATCACATTCATAACTCTTGCATGGCCTATAAATACCTGTGCGCATGCAGTAGACATAGCCACCAAACAATCTAGCTTCAGACCAGATATCAGCAAGAACACCACCATATCTAAAAGATGGCAGCACTTCAATACAACTGCGATGCGGGACTTGCAAAGGCTCCTACCTTCCACCCGAGCCTGTGGGGTGATTTCTTCCTGACATACCAGCCGCCAACTGCCCCTCAGGTAACAGTGTCATTAGACTGAAGATATATAGGGAACATGCCTGGTTGAATGCTGTGAAAATATGAACTGATACTTGCCTCTTGCAGCATGCATACATGAAAGAGCGAGCTGGGCAGTTAAAGGAAGAAGTTAGGGAGATTATAAAGGGCACAAATGAACTACCAAAAATACTGGATCTTATAGTCACACTGCAACGGCTTGGACTAGATAACCACTATGAGATCGAGATTGATGAGCACCTGTGCTCTGTTTACAATTCTAGTTACGACGTTAAAGATCTGAATTTGGTTTCACTGCGCTTTTATCTTCTAAGGAAGCATGGTTATGATGTGTCATCTGGTAAGACCATACTGTTAGTATAAAAAATAGTTTGAAAGGAAATAATAGAATTCAAAGTAAAAACCACATATACGTGCATTAAAAGGCATAATAACTGTTAATTCACTGATGACTTCAGCAGCTCCTTTTTGGTGGGGATTAGTACAACAAGAGAATTGGTTTTGTTCTCAACATGTAGATCTCCATTAATATGCATATGTACAGACACACCATAGTTGATATGTTTAGCTAATGTGCACTGATCCTGGAATAAATAACATAAGCCATGCAAGAAATATTGATTTTTAAGTTGAAAGCATAAAGGGCAATCTGATTGTCATTGATATGTTGGGTTTCATGTGTATAATTAATATGATTTATTTGATCAACTTTGCAGATGTGTTTCTAAATTTCAAAGACAAGGAAGGAAATTTTGCTTCTGATGATATCAGAAGTCTTTTGAGCTTATATAATGCATCATACCTTAGAACTCATGGCGAGGAAGTACTTGATGAAGCCATTATATTCACTAGAAGCCACCTTGAAGCCACATTGACCTCGTTAGAATCCAAATTAGCAGATGAAGTCTCTCTGACCCTTCAAACGCCTCTCTTCCGGAGGGTTAAAATACTGGAAACAAGGAACTATATCCCTATTTACGAAATGGAGCCCTCACGGAATGAAGCCGTGTTAGAGTTTGCAAAACTGAACTTCAACCTCCTTCAAATTCTTTATTGCGAGGAGTTGAAAACAGTCACAGCGTAAGCTAGTGCAGACTTTGAATTTTATTGTCCTATTAATTAGTCAATTATACATCAGATATTTACAATTATACCATTACAGGTGGTGGAAGCAGCTTAATGTTGAAACAGATTTAAGTTTTATTCGAGACAGAATAGTTGAAATGCATTTCTGGATGGCAGGAGCATGCTCTGAGCCCAAATATTCTCTTTCACGAGTTATACTAACGAAAATGACAGCCTTTATCACCATACTAGATGATATAATTGACACCCACAGTACAACAGAGGAGGGCAAGCTGCTTGTCAAAGCGATAGACAGGTACAACTAAATGTTTCCCTAGCAATCTAGTAATCCATATTGATAATGTAGTTTTCACTGTAAGTCTGTAACATGCATTTGTAGTTGCCATCTTTTGTATATTTTAAACATCTGTCATGGACATTGTGAGGGCTCCATGTTCAGCATACAGCAGCTAACACAGCACGGGCTCCACCATGGTTACTGTAGTATAAGAAAGCAGTGGATTAGGTGGCCTAATTTCTATTAGGTCAGTTAGGAAGTCATATTTAATAATTGACCTAACTTAGGATCCTTTCTCTTGTATTATTTTATTTAGATTGGATTGTTATGATAGTAGACACAATAGAACTATACTCGAAATGTTCCCAATGTATTGTAAAATGCAGGTGCAGTCAAGACGCGGTTGAAATACTTCCAGACTACATGAAGGACTTCTACCTGTTTTTATTGAAGACATTTGATTCTTGTGAGGATGAGCTAGGACCAAACAAAAGATATCGGGTGTTTTATCTCAAAGAAATGGCAAGTATTGACTAGCCAACAAGTTACTTAGCAAACACATGCATTTAGTTCAATATCCACAATTACTACTTCAACCTTTCAACTCATCATTCAGATTTCTATGATCAAAATTCTGTTAAGTAAAGACCCCCCAGTTTTGTGCATGGAGAATGTGACAGGCATGCACAAGCACAACAACATGAACTAAAAATCTTCATTGCAAAACTTTCTTCAAGAAATCGCTATGGCTTTGCACTGATATTACTATGTAATATGTTCCACAAATTTATGTGTTGCAGTTAAAGATATTGGTCCGAGGATACTCTCAGGAGATAGAATGGCGTGATGAACATTACGTTCCTGAAACAATTGATAAACATCTTGAAATTTCAAGAGTGACTGTTGGAGCTTTTCAATTGGCATGTTCTTCATTTGTTGGGATGGGTGACATCATAACAAAGGGAGTTCTCGATTGGCTTTTGACATATCCAGAACTTCTCAAGTGTTTCACAACGTTTGTACGACTATCCAATGATATTACATCAACAGAGGTCTTTCTCTATCTTGACACATCTTTATGTATATTTTACACCTTACAGTACCAACCATTATAATCTTGTAACCAAATTCCACATGATATAAGTAGATAATTTAGTAAGTACTGGCTTAACAGTACCAAACTAATGAAACACATGATCGCAAAGCTTTTTTTTAACGCAAACATGGTCACAAAGCTCACTTAGTCTACTTATTTTTTCACTATTTTGCAGCGTGAGCAAACTGGAGGGCATCATGCTTCTACTGTTCAATGTTATATGTTGCAGCATAGTACAACGATGCATGATGCATGTGAGAAGATAAAGGATTTAATTGAAGATTCATGGAAGGATATGATGCAACTCTACCTTACACCAACAGAACAGCCAAAGGTTGTGGCACAGACAGTTGTTGACTTTGCAAGGACGGGGGATTACATGTACAAGAAAACTGATGCATTCACTTTTTCCCATACAATCAAAGATATGATAGCATTACTGTATGTGGAGCCAATATTGTTCTAAGCTGCAGAGATCAGACAAGACCCATTTACCAGCTATCATACTTCGAAATATAGTGTTTATTTACTTTCATCAGTATAGAATAAAGTGGTGACTGCTAGACTTGTGTTCAGAAATCTTGGCAGTTAAGGTAGTGTAAGAATGTTGTAATAGGTAAAGTACAAAACACTATCGTTAGCTCATTACATAAATGTATTGTGTTACCCTCCCAAGTAATATCTGTGCCTTTTTTTCTTTTTGCATACATTGTTCTGTTTCAATCTCTCTAAAACTACTGGTGATGCAAAAATACATGACAATGCTAGGTTTGTTAAAATGTTTTTCATGAGGAGGTGTTCATTATCACATTTTGCTGTATATCATCCTCATGAGTCCCAGTAAGGATGTTCATTCTTTTGTTTAGGGAAACAATTATAATGTAATTGGCCTATTTGACATTATATGGGAATATAGGTAACTCCCATAGTCTCAGATGCATTGTTGGGGTCAATGAATAGAATGTAATGGGTGCAAATTTTTTTTTGAGAACACGTCCGTTGACACGTGTTTCATTAAGAGGGTAATGAGTGCAAATACAAGACTACATGTGGAGGCAGTGCATTCTCTGTTGGCCCCTAGATCTCCCGCACGGGTGAGCCGACCGTTCACCGGCGTTGCCGACCACACACTACGGCTAGAGGTAGAAGAAGGGAGGGAGAACAGAGCGCACGCACACAGCACAAGCACCAGCGTTGGCCGGAGCTCTGCAGAGGAGATGGCAAAACTGAACTCGCTCTCTTTACTGAGTTACAGTGGGAAGCTATAAATACAACTCTACCCATCTAATCCTAGTACACAGACATGCCAGACTGCCATGCTGCTACAGTTACTAGATGTGAAAGCAGGACTGACTTTGGCGCCTGCCCCTGCTGTGGCTACAGTGCGGCAGGGGAGCCTTTCGGCGCCTGCTCCTGCCGCGGCTACAGTGCAGCAGCAGGGAGCCTAGCAGATTACTTTACAATTCTTCCCCTAATCCTGCTGCTAAACCTAGAACCTCCACCATGCCGATCATCTTCTTCAGTGTAACACCTCTGGTGTTACGAGCTCGCTAAGCACTGAGATTATGGCATGAGAGATAGATCTAATAATATAGTAAGTTTGTTTACTTAGCATAAAGAGGTGGTGATGAAAACTCCTAACAAAAAGAATAGAATGAGTTGTGTTAACTGTTGGCATAAAAATAATTTCTATGAACAACGACCAATTATAACTGGAGTATAGTGTAGAAATAAATATTTGAGGGCAAGTTGCGTAGCTGGGCATGCAATTTTAAATCTTGGAGAATAATAATATCAGCTAGTATTTTTGGGAAGCTCGGAAATCAAATTGAAATTAAATTCACTCTTCACGGTTAAGTCGGCAAACAAACGATTTAAGTTTAAAGTGCTATCTTTAGTAAATTATATAGCGGAACATACTTAAATAGTGCTTTAATATTTTGTTCCTACGAGTTAGTATGTAGTATGGGCTGGGTCATGGTACAATTGTTAGTTGAAACCGGCAAGGTTTAGACCCTTTAAAAATTACGGCAAAAGCGCTAAAGGTTGTTAGTTCTAACCAAGCCTTTAATCTGTCCAAGTCGGAAAAGAATTGTAGACAATGCCATTTTGGCATTTAAAATTCAACAAAAATGATTAATCAATACATCCATGTTTTTGTACAGTTGGTTGCATCAAGACGAGCACTTGGGTATGGTGTAGGTTATAGTCATGTTGGTTGTCACGTGGAACTCGTAAAAATTGCCACAACTACGTTGGAACGCGCTGTGAACCATGTCGTTGGCTCTCTGTTCGTGAACCGGCATTTCAGGCACTCGTTTATCTTTCCCCCTAGCTGCTCTATGATCATAACGATTGTTTCGTTAGGAACCGGGTAGTGTTGGCTTCAAACTAGCATAAGTGGTTGAACCTTAGACGAGATAATTAGCTATTTGTTTAGCTTTAAAATGCGTGCACGACGATGCAGTTTGTCGCCACTCTACCGAGCCATGGTCACCGCTGGCGTGTGGGCGCTGCTAGCGTCGGGCTCGTGTCTTGACCGGGGCTGTGGCCGCTAGCCAGCTTGCGTTGGTTGGCGCCGCACAGCCTTGCCGGGGGCGATGGTCGGCCCTAGCTGGCCGCGGCCTGGTCCCGCTGCTGCGTGCGCGTCGCGCTCACATTGACCGACCGCTGGGCCTTGCCGAGGTTGCGGCTGCATCGCTTGGTCGACGTGTTGCTCACCCCGCCCCTTGTTCTAGCTACCGCGCCAGTCTATGCCTTGGAGCCCTACCGCCGTCGCAACGGCGGTGGCCTCGACCGCAGAAGCAATGGGACGCTTCTCGCGCCTTGCCTTGCCTTTGCCCGCTAGACGCCATGGAGAGCTCGGCTCGGGTTCAGTCACTCCGAGTTAAGAGCATCACGCCAAGTCTCCTATTCGTCCATCGCGTGGACTTGCTCGTGCCGCAGCCAGTGACCAGGGTTGGCCATCTTAAGCCTTCCGCCTGTGCGCATGTGCTTCTCCACGGCAGGGCACGGCCAGAGCTTGCCTTTTCCGCCCTCCAATTCGTTTAGCTCCGGTCCTCCACAAACTGATTCATTGCGCCAGTAGAGGGCACCCGCTCCATCTCTTCCACCCCCGGCCATGGGCTATCAACGGTCAATTGGGCGTTTTGCTCATCGCGGGCCTTGGTCGCCGCCGTGACCTGGATCTAGGGAGAGAGATAGGATTGGAGCAATAAAAGTTCGATTGCTTGAGACCTTAAACTCGCATTGACCCCCTCCACTTGGCGCTCGCGTTGCTTTGTCCAGGAGGCCCACCATCGGTGCGGTGATGCGCCGATGCCACGCTCGACACACCGCCGTGAGGTGCGGGCGCACGTGGCCGGGTCGCCTTGTCGCTCCATCTCAACCATCACCATAGCACGAACCCTGGTGAGATGCTGATGCTTCTCCACCACTTTCACTCTCCCATGAGCGTGTACGTTCGGGGGAACGGCCATGCCGCCGCCGCAAATGGCCGCTCACCGCTGTAGCTCGCAGTACTACGTCCCTGAGCCCCTAACCGCCACCTAGCCATGCGCGTTTAGCCATGGATTGAGGTTGGCCCCTTACTCCTGTCTTAGCGTGCATTGGTAGCGGCGTAGCGATCTTCTACCATCGGCCGCCGTGGCGGTGAGCGCGGGGAGTCTAGGGACCTCCAGGTGGTGAAGTCGGCAACATTCGGGGGCCCATTTGCAAAAATGATGCCTAGGAGAATAGTATGTAGGGAGGTTGTGCTATTACGTAGAAGAATAGGGTCTCTTTTGCAAGAATGCCACCGCGCGTGGGTGTCCCGGCCTTGGGCCGCGTTGGGCCATCGCGGTGCACACGTGTCCGTACCCCGCGCTGGGCCGTCGGACCAGATTGGGTTAAGGTTGGCCCTTTTCTTTTTTTCCAAGTATTTGCTAATTTAACTTCTAAGCTTGTTAGAACTTAGAACTAGCTCGTTAGCTTGCGAGACGTAATGATATTTTAGAGTTGCGGTTGCCATTGATTATTTACGTCCCTGTGTTGCATCCACGTATTTCATAATAGGAGCGATGTTGGATCGTGGAGTCATCAGGAGTAGCGGAAGCAGATGGTGACTTGATGATCATGCCACCAAGATGAAAGCTAACTTGGTTATATCTTACTCAGGCAAGCCCCGGTGCATAACCCCTATTATTATGTACTTTATTTATGCTTGTGCATTAAGTTTAAGGAATTGAATGAAACCCACTTGCATATATATATATCCTTATCCCATGAGTCTTACTAATATGATAGGATCATTTAGATTGCTATGCTATAGGACTCCGGTAGAAGTCGAGTGATTGCTTGTCACTCACGAGAGAGGAAATATATTATTGTTACTATTATCATGTTACTATCACATGGAATATATGTGGATAATAATTGGAGACCGGGCGGAACCATACTTTGGATTTGGATTTGGACTTGGTTAGGTAACCAAGCGAGGCTCTGGTAGCGTTTGTCCCGCCTGTGTCGATTGAGGACCGTCCGTTGCATTGGATTCTAGTTAGGTCACAAACTTATTATCCTGAGCACATACTTGCTTATGGGAGCGGGAAGGCTCGTTGCTCTCTTGTCGTGGGTTCCGGCTCTTTCCGGACCGACTAATTGGAGGCAGGGATGGTGGAGGTCTAAGCACCACACTGAGTCTAGGACTCAGGAGTAGCGGCTTGGAGTCCAAGTTTGGACGGGGACCTAGACCCCTTGATAGGAGAGTGGTGGGTTGGTCTTGCTTGTGCCTAGGGTACAAGTGGGGCATGTGTTTTGGGGTACCCAGCTGGGATATATTGGTTTGTGAATCACCGAGTGATACGGTACGACTTGGCTATGATCTAGCACCATAGTAAGAACTGGAATATGAAAGATGGTAAAATAGTTCTGATTGCTTACCACCTGCTTGAAAGTAGTACAGGTGCTTACATAGAATGGTTAGTTAATGAACTAATGATGACTGCTAATGAAATTGAATATAAGGACGCACGTTTAGTAATGCTTCCATAGATGCAATAACCCACAAGCCAGATAGCCTTGCATATCCTTGAAGTCTTTTCTTTCCTCCTGACGAGTAAACCTTGTGGAGTACAATTGAGTACTCAGGGTTTGTTCTACCCTGTTGTAGGTGATAGAAACATGTGGAGCTGACACTTATATGTGGAAACCTCCTGTTGGGCTCAGCAAGGATTTCCTTAACGTTGCGGACATAGAGTTTATTTGAAACTTCCACCCAAAATATTTTACAATGGAAAAACTTATAACCTGTCATGATGTATATAACGGATCATCATGTTAATGTTTAACTTGTCATTAAATTAATTTATTTCCACTGAAACTCTAATAACATGGTTATATTCCGCTGTTATAAACAATAAATAAAACTTTATTCTCCCATTTATGCTCCTGTTGAAAAATATGGATTTTCAGGTTCTCCCATGGGGT